GCAGGATATAATTCCAATAAATAAATTAATAAAGGTAAAGGTAATGTTTTCCCTTGACATGAATGTCTAGTCGTGAGCAATAATATGTGAGCATTAATACGTGAGCAGAAATTAGGGTCTCTGCTGAAAAGTTTATCCACTAGAATTCCTCTGCAGGGAGCTCTCATGGAGTCAAGAATTCCACCACTGAAACAAAGGATAAAGTGTTGGGAGAGTGCCATCTGTCACATGTAGAAATGGATTTCTCTAGTACCTGGGAATGTTGTTTAAATGCTTGTCTACATACCACAATTCTTTTCATCGGAGCCATCCATGCAGTCACTGATACCATCGCAAAGCCAGGAAGTAGCAATACACTTTCCATCATTGCACTGCCAGGCACTGGGATCACCATGACATTCCTCATCTGAAGAGAAGAATTAAAGCCATATGAGTATGGTTCAGCAGTGTTTCCCTTTGAGTCTTAAGATTTTGTTTGATTCAGCCTGTGTTGTGCCTGTATTAGAAGGGGTTACACTTCTCCTGAAGATGCAGGTTCACTGCAGACCCAAGTTTCTGCAATGGCCATTAAATTAAAGCGCCAACTACAACTGTTGCTTCAGATGACTATTCTGGCCAGTGACATTTGGTCACCCTGGTTGGTGGGGATAAAAGAGAGGGTTTTCTTACTAGCTGTCCCTAAGCTCTGAGTCTGAATTCCCTTCCTAAGGAGGCAAGAATCACCCTCTCCTTGCTATCATTCCTTCAGCAGGCAAAACCCTTTTATTCCAGCAGAATTTTAAAATACAATTTTAAAGGATGTTTTAAACTAGAGATCTTTTAGTTGCAGTTTATATTTCTCAAATGTATTTTAAAATTGTTTCAAATGCTGTGAATTGAACTCTAATTGTTCACTTTTTGTATGTTTTTACCTGCTTTGTGCTTGTTTTAAGTTGTAAGCCACCTTGAGTCCCAATTTGGGGAAAAGGGTCAGATGTTGTTTCTACTAGTAGTATTTACTATCACAGTATTACTATTAATAGGATGATTGTTCAAAAGGAACCTCTTGCTCTAGGATGTTTTCTAACCAGTCAGCATCTACAATACAAAGTGAAAGAATCCTAGAAAACAGGTAAATGAGACCTTGTTGCTCAGGGGCAAAATAGCTCTTTTCTCAGGCTCAGTTCACTAAGGTCATTGCTTAAAATGCAGGCAAATGATGTGAAAGCATTCAATAATATATACGAAGCAAATGTTAAGACCAATCTATGCTGCTTTGTTGTGAGTTGGCACCAATGCAATGTCATCTGCTCATGGGGTAAACTGAGGTACAGGTAAGGTCACTCAGCATGCCAGGGACTTTAGGTGCCCAGTTGTGGCCATTGAGAAGAATTTTCTACAAGGTTTACTAAGCTGGTTTGAATATACTAAACCAGAATACTCACTCACTGGAAAGAGCAAGCATGCAAGGACACATTCTCATCCCACTTGGCTCTACTAGACAGCAGAAACAAAGCAGGAATCCTTTCTGTCTGCGGTTTACTTAGCATAAGATTGGAACCAGTATTCCTGCCTTCTCGCTCCAACAAGCCAGAATCACAGACAGGGCTTGTTCTTGGCTTACTATTCCAGCTTGCTGAGAGAAGAAACAATGGATCCCTGTTTGAATACAACACTGAAAAAACTCTGGATAGAGTTTTTCTGGTATACTTCATCCCTCATGCAAGTGCACAGAGCCAAGTGAAAAGAGAGTGACCAGTATGCCTCAGCAAGTGTGCTTGTTTCCAATAAGCTACAATGCTGACTGTCCACTGCATCAAGAAAGGTACAACTGTTTCAGATCAATCAAGAGGATTGTGCATGCCTCCGTTGACTTCTTACTCTCTTGCTAATGAGATTTAGATGCATGGGAGTGGTTCAGAGAATATGGCAGAAATGTAAACATCCACTCACAAAAGGCCCAGATGATCCTGGGCTACCTGAAGATAATACATCCTACACTTAAAATAATTCTGTGGAAAGCACTAGGCCCCCTTTGGTGAGGGGCAGGACACATGGATAGTTCCAACATCAGTGGGGCAGTCAATCCACTCTGGGTTTTGCTCTGAAATTGAAAGGAACATATTGAAAGGAAATTTAAAGGAACCTATTTTTGAGGATTGTTGTTGTGTGCCTTCAAGTAATTCCCAACTTATGGCAACACTAAGGCAAACCTATCACAAGGTTTTCTTGGCAAGTTTCTTCAGAGAGAGTTTGCCATTGTCATCCTCAGAGGCTGAGAGAGTGTATCTTGCTCAAGGTCACCCAGTGGGTTTCATGACTGAGCAGGGATTTGAATTCTGTTCTCCAGTCATAGTCCAATGCTCAAACCACTACACCATGCTGCCTACACTACTCAGAGTAAATTCACTACTTCACTGACATCAGAGCCACCCATCTCCCCTTGGTGGAAGAAGTTTAGCCAAGGAGGAGCAAACACAGCACAACTCCTAATAGAACGAGACTAGACAAGTATGTGCACACGGGACAAATAATCTGGGGATGTAGGCATTCAGGATGTGCCAGAGAGGTTACCAGATTAGTTTATTACCTGAAACAGGCTGCCATAAAACAATAGGAGCTACTGCCAAGTCTATCATCAAATGTTTATTATTGTGTGCGCCTTCAAGTCATTTCTGTCTTATGGTGGTCCAAGGCAAACCTATTATGAGATTTTCTTGGCAAGTTTCTTCAGTGGAGGGTTGCCATTGCCATCCTCTGAGGCTGAGAGAGTGTGACTTCTTGCCTAGGGACACCCAGTGGGTTTACATGGCCAAGCTGGGATTTGAGTCTTCAGAGTCCTAGCCCAACGTTCAAATTGCTACTGGTTATAAGTCTCTATACCCTATCAATGACTTTCGGAACCACCTAATATGGCCCTTAGTTTCTAAGAAACTTACCGCATTGCTCATCTGAGCCGTCAGGACATTCTCGTTCTCCATTACAAAGCCACGTCAAAGGAATACATTTATCTCCACAACCAGCTTGGAGAGAGGTGTTACAGGAGGTGCCATAATCTGCAGAAGCAGACATGAATGGTCAGAAACAAACAGCTGCATGCAACCCAAACAGGATTATAAAGTTGCCTGCTACTACTACAAGATCCATGACTTGCCCAAGAGCTGAAAATGGAATGAATGATTTCAAGAAGAAGGAGGTCCTGCTAAATAAACATCAGCCATGGAACATCTACTGTATTATAATCTTCTCCAACCTGGGTATTGTCCAAGTTGGACTACAATTCTCACTGCACTCCAGCCAGCAACATGTTTCACAGCATATCTGGAAAACACCAAGTTGAAGGAGGATGGTTTACCTAAATCCAGCATCATCTTTCTTACAGTGACCATACAGACCCTCCTTAGAAGCCTACAAGCAAGCTACAGGTCCTTTTCCACCATGGTCAGCTGGCACACCAAAAGTTCCCAGTGCCAGTGTTGGTGTTGTTGCGTGCCTTGAAGTCATTTCTGACTTATGGCAACTCTAAGGTGAACTAATCCTGGAGTTATCTAGACAAATTTCTTCAGAGGCTGAGAGAGTGTGACTCCCAGTGGGTTTCCATGGCTGAGCCAGGATTCAAACCCTGATCTCCAGAGTCATAATCCAATGCTCAAACCACTGTACTACGCTGCTTCTGCCAATGCCAACAGAAGGGTCTATTTCACCATCCTAGCAGAATACAACCCTATGTGCCTGGATTCAAAAACAGCAAGTCCTATTGTTTTAAGTGAATCTTTGCCTCTGAATTGTCAGTTGCCCTAATCACAATGGAGGAGAAAACACCACAAAATGTAGGTCCTTCAAGAAAAATGGAGGACAGGACCAAATAAAAGCTCAAAACACTCATAGATATATAAATTCACACTTCTTCGTCATGCTTCAAATGGAGTAGAGTTTGGAATTCCTCCTGGATAAAAAATAGAAATGGAAGAACCTTCCTGGAAAAGGGGGACCTCTGGCCACCTTGAATGCACTTCTCAGTTCTACTCCAAATGGAGGACAGTTTGGAATTCCTCCTGGAAAGATGGCAAAAATGGAAGACTCATCCTGGAAAAGGAAGACTTCTGGTCACCCTGAATGTACTTTTTAGTCCTGCTCCAAATGGAGGACGTTTTGTAATTCCTCCTGGACAGAAGACAGAAATGGAAGACTCATCCTGGAAAAGGAGGACCTCTGGCCACCCTGCACGTAACCCTTTTTTCCCAAATCAGCCAGTGGCCAGAAGTATTTTTATGATGTCTCAATCCAGGCAGAGATCTCCACCCTCCAGCCTTAGGGCATCTCCCATCTCTCCCTCAAAAGCCCCACTGAAAGCTTACCTGGGACAGGTAACAAGCCCCCCCAGGTGCCCCAGGCGGCCAAAAGCAGGAGGATCCGGAGCCGAAAGTGCCCCATTCCAGGCATACTAAAAAGAGGAGAGAGAGAAGATCAGCAAGACAGGAAAAAGCTTATATTAAGGAACCAGCCTCCCTGGACAGTTTATATCCACCGCGCAAGAATCCCATTGGACGAGACCCGCGCAGCTAAGAACCAATCAGATCGCTTGTCCGCCTTTCATTGTCTCACCTGGAGAGAGCATCCTGAGCGCACTTACCTGCGGGAGAGAAGAAGGGATCATTAGACTATTCTTAGATTATTGTTATGGTTTTGGAAGAAATCTGGGGGTGAAAAGTCAGATTTAGGGCTGCATCTGCACTGCAGGAATAAACTTGTTTGGTCCCACTTTGACTGCCATGACTTCATGCTATGGAATTCTGGGAATTGTAGTTCCTTGGGACACCAGAACGATCCTATCACAGGGTTTTCTTGGCAAGTTTCTTCACAGAAAGTTTTAGCCATGGCCCTCCTCTGGGGCTGAGAGAGTGTGACTTGCTCAAGGTCACCCAGTGGGTTTAAGTCGAGATTCGAACCCTGGTCTCCAGAGTCATAGGCCAATGCTCAAACCACTATGCTACACTGATTATATATAAGTCTCTGTAGCCCATCATTTGCTGGGGATTTGAACCCTGGTCTCCAGAGTTATAGGCCAACGCTCAAACCACTACGCCACACTGGTTATAAGTCTCTATAGCCCATCATTTGCCAGGGATTCGGACCCTCATCTCCAGAGTCATACATCAAGGCTCAAACTACTACGCCACACTGGTTATAAGTCTCTATAGCCCATCATTTGCCGAGGATTCGAACCCTGGTCTCCAGAGTTATAGGCCAGTGCTCAAACCACTATACCATGCTGGCTTTCAACCTTAGAGACCAAGGTTCAAATCCCTACTCGAGCATGAAAAGCCACTGTGTGACCAGGTTCAAATTCCCGTAGGAGTGTGAAAACCCACTGGGTGACCTTGGACAAGTCACACTCTCTCAGCCTCAGAGGATGTCCATGGCAAACCACCTCTGAAGAAACTTGCCAAGAAGATCCTGTGATAGGGTCGCTATAAGCTCTGGTGCCACAATGAACTACAGTTCCCAGAATACCATAGCATAGAGCCATGGCAGTCAAAATGGGCCAAACCGGATTACTGCTGCAATGCAAATGCAGTCCATGATGCAGTCCAAATAGCTGATGACCTGTGTGAATGCTTAATTCTGAATTAATTTGCACTGTGAAACTCAGATCCTAAAACATCACCTGATTTTAAGTAAATCTCACTCAATCCAGTGTAAGTAACTCTGAAGAACTAGCCAGGAGGCTGTGTAGATTCACTCCTGTATGAACAGGCTTTGTTGCTGTCATTGTTGTTGTGTGTCTTCAAGTTGTTTCCAACTTATGACAACTCCATCATGGGGTTTTCTTGGCAAGATTTCAAGATGGTTTGCCATTGTCCTCCCCTGAGGCTGAGACCATGTGACTTGCCCAAGGTCACCCAATGGGAACTGAACCCTGATCTCCAGAGTCAGGGTCCAAGGCTGACTTAAGAGGTTTGGCTGTTTTTGTCTGCCTTCAAGTTGTTTCCGACTTATGGAGACCCTAAGGCGAATCTATTGTAGTGTTTTCTTGGCAAGATTTCTTCAGAGGGGTTTGCTCTTGCCTTCCTCTGAGGCTGAGAGAGTGTGACTCACCCAAGGTCAGCCAGTGGGTTTCCATAGGCAAGCCGGCATTTGAATCCTTGTCTCCAGAGTCGTAGCCCAACACTCAAATCACTACACCATGCTGGCTCTCAATAATAGATTTGTACAAAAAGGAATTTCTGCCTTGGACCATTCTGGAGCTGCTGGATGCCTTCAAATCATTTCCAGCTTATGCCAGCCCTAAGGCAAACCTACCATGGGGTTTTCTTGGCAAAAATTTGTTCAGAAGGGGTTTCCCACTGCATTCCTCTGAGGCTAAGAGAGTGTGACTTGCCCAAGGTCACCCAATGGGCTTCGAAAGCCAAGCAGGGATACAAACCCTGGTCTCAAGTCATAGTCTAGTGCTCAAACCACTACACCACACTGCCTCTCAACCCTGGAGACCAAGATTCAAATTCCCCACTAAAGCATGAAAAGCCACTATGGGACCTAAGGCAAGTCACACTCTCCCAGCCTCAGGGGTGACCATAGCAAACCCCCTCTGAAGAAACCCTGTGATAGGATTGACGTAAGTCAAAAATGGCACACAACAACAGCAACAAAGTTTGCGTGGCAATTTAAACCTGCTGAGATAACAGTTGAGGAGCCTTGTTTTCATTGACATTTGGCCACTCTGTGATTCAGCTGTATGCTATGCAAACTCTGGGAAAAAAATAATGTTTGTTATAGAAGTCAAAGATATAGCCATGTTAGTCTGTAGAATCAGTATGTAGAGAGATCTTGCCAATTTCTTTCTTTAAGATAGTCTCAAAGGTGCCACAAGATCTCTCTACGTCAGGTTTGTTATATGCCTTCATGTTGTCTCACAATCATATGGCAACCCTATCATAGGGTTTTCTTGGCTAGATTTATTCAGAGGAGTTTTACCTTTACTTTCTTCTGAGGGCGAGAGAGTGTGACTTGCCCAAGGTCACCCAGTGGGTTTCTGTGGCTGAGCAGGGATTCAAACCCTGATCTTTCAGTGTCCTAGCCCAGCATTCAAACCACTACACCATGCCAGCTCTATAATCATCATCATCATCATCATCATCATCATCATCAACAACAGCAACAGCAACAGATAATAGTAACCAGATGAAAATAGGACAGGGTTCTTGTACCTTTAATAGCTGTTTAAAAAAGGGAAATTCAGGTGTAGCTTGACATGGAAACATCACCTGCAGTATTTCTCTTTAATTTATTAATTACATTTCCATCCCTCTCTTTCCTTCAATGAGAACCAGTGTGGTATAGTAGTTTGAGACTTTGGACTATATCTCTGGAGACCAAGATTCAAATCCGGGTTTGGCCATGCAAACCCACTGGGTGGACTTGGGCAAGTCACACTCTCTCAGCCTCAGAGGATAGCCATGGCAAACCTCCTCTGACAAATCTTGCCATGATAGGTTTGCCTTAGGGCCACCATAAGTTGGAAACAATTTAATGGCACACAACGACGACAACGGCTTTCCTTCTTCCCTCTTTGTCCTCCCAGCAACCATGTCAGGCTGAGAGAGAGTAGCTGGTCCAAGGTCACCCAGTGAATTTTCTGGATCTTCCACATAATTTTTAAAAGTAGAGGAGTCCTGCTTGGAAATGCAGCTGTAGTTGTAACCAAACTCACAAAACAAGAATGGGCTAATCTTTAAAATCTTGAATCCTGCTACTTAATGTTTAAAATCTTGAATCCTGTTATTTAAGAAATAAGTTAGTTTTGGCCAAAGTTTTGTAAAGAATAAAGTAGCAAAGCACTGTGTTGGGAGGAGGCCTAATTTTAGCAATATTTAGTTGTTTTCAAATGCTTGTGGGGTTAAGTGGTTACTAATAGGTTTTATTATGATACAAACTTGCACAGGGAAGATTTGGTATTACATTCACCAAATCCAGTTGCTAGTCCCCATTAAAATGGGCCCATTTAACAGTTAATTTATCATTTTAGCAATTGATTTAACGGGTTTATTTTGGCTGAGACTAACATTTTGGATTTAGGATAATGTATTTTCAGCATCACCCACTCCTTACTGTACAATTTAACCGTGATCAAATTTGATATTAGAAGAGAGAATTATGCCATAAAAATACATATAGCCATCTTGAAAATGAATATGAAAGCAGTGTTGGGATTTGAACATGAAATGTAGAATCGTGCGTGAATGTACATAACTCTAATTGCAATATATCGATCTTCAGTTCAAATAATCATTTTACAATATATGTTGCATCTCCCTCCTGCCTTTTGAAAAATGGATGCAGAAACTGACCTGGGATTCCAATCCAGGGCTTGGAAAAGTTACTTTATTGACTATTAGCTACCAAAATCCCCCAGCCAATATGTCCAAGTTGGCTAGTGTGTTTGGGGTGTGGCAGTTACAAAAAACCCAAAGCTTCACAAAGCTCTGTTCAAATCTAAACCATAAAAGTGTAACTGATGTAGAATTGTGTCGTGAATGTACATAACAACTCTAATTGCAATACATTGATCTTCAGTTCAAATCATCGTTTTACAATCTATGTTGTATCCCCCTCCTGCCTTTTGAAAATGGATGCAGAAGTTGGATGGGAATCCAAGCCAGGGCTTGGAAAAGTTACTTTTTGGACTTTAACTACCAGAATCCCCCAGCTAATAGGTTCAAGCTGGCTAGTGTGTTTGGAGAGTTGTAATAGCAAAAAACAAACAAACCTGCAAAGCTTCACAAAGCTCTGTTCAAATCTAAATCATAAAGGTATAACTTGAATATGTGCATGTAGTTGGTTGAAATGCTTCCAAGTGTAACATTGCACTTAAAAAGTAAAAGGGCATTAACTGAAAGAAATACAGTCGCCCCTCTGTTTTCGTGGGGGATCCGTTCTGGACACCCCCCGCGAAAATGAAAAACCGCAAATATTCAAGCCCCATTGGTTTGAATGGTTGCATGTCTATTTTTGCGGGGGATCCATTCTGGACCCCCCCCCCGTGCTAACAACAACAACAACACATTTTATTTATAGCCCGCCTCTCCCTGTGGATCGCGGCTGATTACAACAAATAATCAAAACTACAAATTTTCAAGCCCCATCGGTTTGAATGGCCGTGCGTCTGTGTACGCACACCATTTTATCCCTCCCTACTTGCAGTCTGAGAAGGACCGAGACTGCGGACTCAAAATCTGAGAATGGGAAGGGATGACTGTACTTTTGAAAGCAATGGACAATTGTGTGGGACCTTAAAAGGCTAACAAGCAGCTCCCTTCATCATGTGCCTACAATATACTTGGGAAATACAAATACACATGCGAGGGTGGTGGGAGAGAGCTACCAACATAATGATGCATCCTGGTGGTTTAAGAATCACTGGGAAGAGACAAGAACATTTACACATTAGCCTCTATGTATCGTGAAGAAAAATCTTTGTACATGCATAGACTGGATTAGGGTTTATGGCTTCACCTTTCCCTGAACTCATTAAGTCAAAGGATTGAAATCAGAAGGGCCAGAGGGAACAGGAATGCAAATATTACAGGGCAGAGAAAATTATCTAAAAAGGTGGGTGGTAAAACAAACATCCCCAGATAGATGAGCTGATTGACTTATGAAGATAGATAAAAAGCCTTTGTCCCTCTTAAAGTCACAGGAGATGGATTTTAACCTCTTGAGGAATTTGCAAGGAATGGGAGGAATTCTTGTGTTGCAAGGCTGTGTAACAGCAGTGCAGCCAGGAAATGGTGAAGCATCAGTGGTTACAATACTACCTACTTTTTTGACCTCTCTTCCAAATCATAGGCCTCAATAGTTTTTTTACTGTGAGAGACAGCATGATGTAGTGCTTTGAGCACTGGACATTGTTCCAAGTCCACAATGCTGGTGTTATCCAAATATCTTAGACTGTTGATGTTCCTTCCTTTGATCTTCACTCCTCCTTCTTCTTATATTTTCTGCATACAAGAACAAATAGGGTGACAAAATGCAGCCTTGCCTGACCCCTTTGCCTGTTGGGAACCATTCTGTTTCTCCATATTCTGTTCTGACAGT